GACAAAACATAATTCAAAGGAGTAGTCCCTTCCTAGAAATGTGAACCATCATTCGAGGAATATCTTGTTATTGATGAAAACGGAAATCGGAATTATACCGTTCTCTTCTGTATGATGGTTGAAATATTTTTGCATATATGTTTCATTTTGGGAAGAAGAAATATATGCTTCAAAACTCTTACTAGACCCCATTGCTTGTAGTTGCGTATTCAAATATTTGTTACCACTGAATTCATTGGAAATGAGACTTAATTCTCATTATTTTCTAAATATAGTTTTCTCTCTTTTTTTAACCACGCATTCTTTAATAAAATAATATTACACTCAAACCCAAAATTTTTCCTTACTTTTTAACACACATTTTCTATCAATCTACTATTCAAAAATATATTTTTACAATAAAATGAGGCTCAAACATGTTCTTCATTTGTTCTTGTTGATAATCTCATCTCAAGAACTTGGAGATTCCTTGATATGATGAATTTGTTAATTGATTCGTCGTGAAAGGAAATGAGAAATTGGTTTTCTATTACATTCTATACGCATTAAATTTCCATTAATTTTTTGTTCTATCTCCTTGGTGATTGAAATTATGCAATACATTGACATGCCAATTATATATCTCAAGGCAATTTCCAACATCAAAGCCTCTTTATTGCTTAGTTGCAAAACTTGTTGATGAAGATATCTTTTTTTTTTTTTTTTTTACTTACTCAAATGAAGCATTCCTACATTGACCCCAAGATTCTTTCTGAATTCTCTCTATTGCTATTGCTCTATATAGTTAATTAACTGGCACTGAAATTTTAAATATGTTCACGCTGTTCTCATTTTAGTCTTAAACATATATTGTATCTCTTTTTTGTATTGTTCCAAGGGATTGAATGGAGTTCATCTGTTGATGTCTACATGGTATCATGTCTCCAAATGTTAGTTCACGACGTCTTTCGCATAAGTCATCACATTTTCTTAACTTTATGTCAATTTATTTAAAAAAATCTTTATTTATGCACTTTCTTAAGTTTCCAACTTAATCCAGATTAATCTCATTTTATGTTGTTTTTTACTTTCAAGATATTAAAAAATTTAAATTGAGTAATCCAAAAACGTTCCATTATTTAAGTCAATCAAATTGGTACGAGTTAGATTGACTTGATAAATCTTAATAATATATAATAATAAAAAAGGCAACGGATACTATGAGAATAAATTCAAAGGAACAAGTATAAAGGACGGTTGTTTTACATGCAAAAGTGTCTTCTTGCTAACTTTATTTCATTTGTTGCCTATCAGAATGCAATATTTAGAGTTATTATTGCAATCCTCCATTTTGAAAACATTGAATTTACAAAGAGGAAAGAAATAAATAAATTCATCTATTCCTAAAGATGAAACATTTTGGTTTCATTTAAGAATTGCAATAGAACTATTCATGTAATTATTAGATTTTGCAAGCTATACTTCACCTGATAAAAGTAGTTGCTAAATTCTTATCTTACTACATCTAAGATTAAGAACATTCAGTTTTTAAAAGTTCTGCATTTTGTAGGTCATATGTGAAGGCTTGAGTTAGAGGACGCCATCTGCAAACATGTAATTGTCACTCATGATGAAGTCATCACCAAATGTTTAGGCCCAGAAACTGCGGCTGGTAGCATATGCTTTAGCCAAAATTGTCTACTCAAGGTTGTTTGACTGGTAGGCTTCATTTGTATGCTTGAAGGAGATGTTCATTAGTTGACATACATTTGTTAGATCTATTAGTTTTTTTTTTTGTATGCTTGCTTATGTTGAGCAAGAAGATTTTACTGGTATTCATCATTTCATCAAATGTGGGTGTTTCTTTTGGTGCATTTTGAAGTTGGTTCTAACTATTGCATCCTAAAAATAGAAAAAAAAAAAGGAATTTATAATTTCAGATTTTGATGACCTACTAGGAAGATTTTCTCATCCTATTCATCTATTAATAGACCATCATATTTGATTGGTCAGTTTGGATATATTTCTCAACATTACATACATTTTTTGAGCCTTTTCAAACCATTAGATATTGAAAATGACTTTTTTTGTGCACAAAATTTTACTACCTCTTTTAAATCACATGATATGTTGTGCAGCCAATCCCAAAAGCTTTTGCTGATTAATATAGACACCAGCTTGGGAATATGGTTCATTTAATTGACTATCGTGCCATAGTTTAAGTTTTAACTAGCAAAGATGAACATAGATTGTACTTCTTTGCAGGATGTGAACATTTTCTGACCATCACAATTCTTGACAAACCTTTGATCCATTGCATCATTTGGCTACTCTCTACGCCTTCTTATGAAGAGGTATTCCTTTTATTATTCTTTTGTTCAACTTTCACATTGACGGTATCATATCGATTCTATTTTATTCTAATTGTCTCAATCATGAACAGGGGAAAAAAAAGAGTTTAGTTCTTATGGCAGCTATACTCTGTCAAGGGGCATCCGTCGATCATGTGATCAAGTTGGTCATTGACTTCGACCATACGCATGTTCTCCATTAGCTTGCCTGGTTGAATCTATTGCTATCAGAAGCATAGAGTATGTTTCTTTAATTTCTTCTTGGTTGCTTTGCAATTACATTGTGATTTTAGTTTATACATTTGGGTTGCATTTGGCGCACTATATAATTTTTCGTTTTTAGGACTTTCTTATTCTTCGTTTTTGTGTCACTTATGTTGGGGAGTTGGATTTGAATGAGATCATTGTTTCTCTTTGGTTTCAATGTTGTTTGATTTTTGAATAGGTTCTCGTATTGTTGAATGAGATGTGCACTAAATTCTTTAAGCACGCTTGTCATCTCACATGTAACTATTATTTTTCCTCATTACTTTTGGGTATAATTATTTTTCTCGATAATACGAGAAGTGTATATTTAGAGGGAGAGAGAGAGAGTGTGTGTGTGTGTGTGTAAATTGGTTATCACAGTTGACAATGGAATAAATAAGCTAATTCATTTATAGGTTAACCATCTCTTGTGTCAAGCGAGATCCACGAGGTGTCATCTCTAGTTGGGATTATGGCATGTTGTTCAGGTCCCTTCATACAGTTAACTCTTGTTTGCTAATTATTTTATGTATGCATTAAAGTTTACTTTATTTCCTTGTGCTTTTCAGATGCTTCGTGACTATACCTTATTGATAACATTATATGTAAATTTACCTCATTAAATTAAGTTCATTGTGTTCATCTAATCTAATGCATATATCTTCCATCAACCCTTACCACAAGGCACACTAACATTACTTTAAAAAATAACATAGCCCGTACATTGCACGGACATCAAACTAGTATATCTAAAAATCTGATTTTTATAAAAATAAAACCAGGGCTTAGTGTTGTCCATCACCAAGTAGAAGAGATAGATGATGCAAGGAGTTCAAAACGCCACAGAATTTGCTACTCTATTACCCTCACGATAAATATGAGTAACTACAGGGTCTTCCAACTGAGACATTTGTTTCATTCTGGGAGCCAACTTCAAGGAGCTTTCCTGAAGCTAGAAAGAAAGGTAGCAACCAAATAAGCCCAATCACTCTTAAGTAAAGTTTTTCTAACCGTAGGTCCAAGCGTACCTAAAGTGCCGATAAAAAATTAAGTTAAAATCAACAATTAATTTTATCCACAATAACTTTTATTAAGTTTTCAATGACATATTTTATCAGTTTTTATTAAAATATACTAAAATCAAATTTGTAATAAAACCTAGCACCTACAAGCTTAGCCGCCATGACAAAGCTCCGGCGAGTACAGGAAACCCCACTACAACAAGCAAGCCTAGACTCCCAAAAGCCAACACCCGTATTCACCTGAACCTCGCTCGATCATGCTACATTAACAAAATATTTTGCCCACTTTTTTGAAAGAATGTCACGTGGCATTCTATAATTAATCTGTCTAAAAAAACAATCAATTTTTGCACTCAATCATCTATTTCCAACATTGCATTTTTCAAATAAGTGGGCAAAATCAAGTGGCAAAATGATTTGACACAACCTCGACAGCTAAAAGGAGAATTTTGCATTCACATTATTATGATGTACAATTTTCTTTATAAACTTTTTTCATCGTAGTAAATTATAATAACGGAAAAAGACGTAGTCTCACATTGAGAATAATCACTATAAATCTTGTTTGTTCTTGTCTCTATTTTCTTTTTACGATTTTATTGCTCCTAGAGGTAAAATCAGATAAATCGGTTGGAACTAGAAACGAGAAAGGCATACGACATGTTTACCTATCATCTTCTTCAGTATTGTCTGATCTAATATACCAAACATATTCTTGAAGGTCTCACTAGCTATAGTAGAAAAAAAAGTTGTTTTACAGTTTCAAAGCAGATGCATCTAAAACCAAAATAATTTATTGCTATCGGAGATAATTAGTCTAAAAGTAGGTTACACGATTAACCAAACTATATCTAACAGTATGGCGTGCCAATTAATTATGTTTATGTCATTTCAGTTTCTTGCTCAGAAAGAGACTACTGAACTAATTCATATTTGAAAAACGCTGCAGGTACGTGATTCTTGGCGAGAAAAAAAACATCAGCACCCTATTTGCCTGTTTGTCTTTTTTTTCTCTTCCAATGAAAACGTGCCAAATGTATTTTCTGTTGATTTTTTGTACATTTTTCCTTTACTCATAGACTGGTTCTTCAAATTTTTGCTTACAAAAAGTCTGCAAGTACGGGGAAATTCAACAGGAATGTCTTCCTGTAAATTTTCCTGTTGAATTTCTTGTACTCATAGCATATCTCTTTTGCATATTCAGGATCTACAAGAAAAGGTTAAATATTACCTTATGAGATAAACTGATAAACTACCACATCAATCTAGAATAGTAATTAATCATAATTTTAAATATGTAGTATATTTTAACACTCCAGAGATCTGCATGGTTACAAATAGGCCGTCCGGGGTTTTTTCAAGTTCATAGTGAAAGCACACTTGGCTAAAATTTACTTCGAAAATGGCTTTACTATTAGGTTATGCAGAAATCTTTCTTGCAATTATGTGCTTCCTCTTTATATGGAGTTTTAGGAACATAAATGGTCAGATGCCATGGAACTGGCCACTGGTAGGCATGCTTCCAAGCCTATTTTTCCATGTACACCGATTTCATGAACGGTGTGCAGATGTTCTTGAGTGGTCTGGGGGCACTTTTCTTCTTAAGGGTCTCTGGTTTGCTAATATGGACATTCTTGGTACAGTGGATCCAGCCAATGTGCACTTTATAATGAGTGCAAACTTTGCAAATTTCCCCAAAGGTCCTGAGTTCAAGAAAATTTTCGAAGTTTTGGGAGATGGAATCTTCAACACTGACTTGGATTTGTGGAAGAATCAAAGGAAACAGGCTCGAGGTTTGCTCAATCACGAGCGTTTTCGCAAGTTCTTGATGAGAACTAGCTCGGAGAAAGTCGTGAAAGGGCTTATTCCAGTTCTTGAACATGTAGCTAAAGAAGGGTTTGTTGTAGATTTACAAGATTTGTTCCAAAGATTCACTTTTGATACTACTTGTATATTGGTCACAGGCTATGATCCGGGGTGCCTTTCGGTTGAATTTCCTGATGTTCCCTTCTCCAAGGCCATGGACGAGGTGGAAGAAGCCCTATTTATGCGCCATTGCTTGCCAGAAAGTGTATGGAAGTTGGAAAAATGGCTAAATATTGGACATGAGCATAAGCTAAATAAAGCTTGGGGTGTCTTGGACAATGTTATAGGCAAGTACGTGTCGATGAAACGCGAAGAACTAAGTCAACCAAGAAAATTTGATGGAGACGAAGAAGGGTTAGATTTGTTAACATCGTACATCAATGAAGACGAGGGCATGGGATTGAATTGTGACGACAATTTCTTGAGAGACACCATATTGAATTTCATGATCGCGGGGCGTGACACTACTAGCTCAGCTCTCACTTGGTTTCTTTGGCTAGTTTCTACACATCCGGAAGTCGAAAAGAAGATAAGAGAAGAGCTGAATTCCATTATACCACCCAAGGAAGGTGAAAAATGGAGGCTCTTTAAGGTGGAGGAATTGAAAAACCTAGTTTATTTACATAGTGCATTGTGTGAATCACTAAGGCTATATCCACCAGTTCCATTCCAGCATAAGTCTCCTCTTCAACCTGTTACTCTTCCAAGTGGTCATTATGTTACTCCAAAGATGAAGGTTATGTTTTCCCTTTATGCCATGGGAAGAATGGGGTTCATATGGGGTAAGGACTCCAAGGAATTCAAGCCAGAAAGATGGATCACCGAGCATGGGACTATCAAATATGAGCCTTCGTACAAGTTCTTGGCCTTCAACGCCGGACCAAGAACTTGCCTTGGGAAAGAAGTAGCTTTTACACAGCTGAAAGCCGTTTCGGCTGCCATAATTTATAACTACCAAATCCAAGTGGTGGAGGGGCACACTGTGATCCCTAACGTTTCTGTGATTCTCTACATGGAACATGGATTGAAGGTTAAAGTTAGCAAGAGATGGACTTGAAATTTTCTAAAGAGGGGATTCCTTTCATATTTACAACCTACTGATGTTTTTTTAATAAATTAGAGGATGAAAATCATAGCAACTCAATTTAATTCCTATTTCCATGTTTTATGTGAACGAGTGATTATTGTATCAATGGATCTACTTAAATATATATGTCATTTATTATTGTGTCTTACTCTAAATTAATTTCTTGCCGCAATTTCCTTTTTTCTTCACTATCATCTTATTACTTAGGCAATGTTTGATTGTCACATTTTTTTTAAAAAATGTCACATTCGAGAAAAACGAATTCCACTTTAACCATTTGATAGCGATGTGGAAATGGAAACTGAATTCTAAAGTACAACAACTTTAAGCTGCATTTTCATAGTTTTCATGAAAAACGAATTTCTATAAATTTGGTGAGTTTTTATTTTTCAGCCGAAGTAAACTGATATTTCAACATTTAGCTACTTTTTGTATCATTGGATCTAATTCGTCTAACTTCATACTTATCTATGCATTTGTTGATGACTAAAGCTGATGTGGTAACACTTTCTAATCTCTGATTGGTTGTGAAAGGTGGATCTCATGTCGTTGAGGAACATTGTCCAGATTATTCAAGATGATGTTCCTAAGCGATGGCGGCTTAGACTGTCGTGACAAGGTAAGCCATGTGATCCGACTTCAAGTGCATGAATTTCTGAAATTAAGCCTCTTTGATTTCTTTGAAGCGGGTCCACACATGATTTGAGGTGGTCTCTTAAGACCATGGGCGAACCTGGGGTCCTCGAAGCAAGTTAACCCAACTTTTGAGATTTTTTTAATATATAAAATCGTATTTGGTATCGATTGAAATTTTAATTTTAATCTAAATCAAAGTTAACAATTAATTTTAATAACATATTTCATGTAATCCATAACTGTTTAACTTTTATCAAAATTTACTAAAAATTTGATTTTAATCTCCACCGAACAGGAGCAAATCACAATAAATTTGAATTTCGATAACATGCTAATTTCAAAAATTCTCCGACGATCGTACACTAATCGAATCTACAAATTACTTATGTCATTTCAAAACTTATTTCGAGAATTACATTATGGCATATCGAATAATCCAAACAGATATTGAAAATAGTTAAAAATACGTAAAACGTGAGTCTTTAAAAAAAGACGTCTAACTCGCATTTTTTTAAAAAATTCAATTATTTCATTAACATTTATTATTTTTGCGAGACAAATTTCTCAACGTAATTTTTATTATTTTATTAGGAAATTTTATATGGAACATGACATCAAAAATTTTCGAAATTTTACATTCGAAAAAGTCATATCCCATGTAAATTTTCGAATGTAAAATTACATAGAGTATGATTTTTTGGATGTAAATTTTCGATTGTAAAATTTCTCCCAACTTCTTTACAAGTTTGATTGTGCTCCCTAACTTTTAAAGTTTGTGTCTGCCCCTGCTTAAGATCGGATACTAATACATTTCATTTAACACATAATTTTTATCTACTTTTTAATTGTACATTTCATGAGATTCATCAACTTTTATCAATTTTATTTGCTAAAAATCTATATCAAACGTATCCTTAATTTGCCTTTTTGATTTGTCTTGAATTTTAATGTAATATTATACGCATAAATGGATGGTGTACATATATGCTCAACTGCCACAACCAGAATTACAAAAGTCGTTGAAACTCTCTTTTTTTTTTGGTGAAAAGTCAATAAAAAATTTATAAAAAAAACTATATTTATAGTTAACTATAAAAAAAAATGTTAAAAACCTGTAATTAATGAATGTCGTGGGATTATCTTGTTAGAATGTCGTTCACCTAATTAATGAATTAGTTCTGCTAGAGAAACAGGGTTAATGACAGGTTTTTGATACACATAGACTTGACAAATTTTCATTGGCATTTAAAAATAAATTAAACAAAAAAATTTGAAAAATGCTATTCATCCCCAGTGGGAATGCATCCCCAATTTATGTGGATGTAAATGATAGGTAAAATTAAATGACTTATTTAATTTCACGTATCATTTAATGCCACATTAACGTCACATAAATTAGAATGCATCCACACTGAGAATGAATAGCATTTCTCAAAAACTTTCAATCAAGAACTGCCAAATATGTACCTGAAAAAAGGGCCTGTCATCGAGCCCTGTATCTTTAGCTTTTCCCTTAATTAAGATTCCATACTAGTGGCGTGCATCAAGTCAATGTCCAGCATGTGCTAATATCGCTTGGACTTTTAATTTGTTAAAAGAAGTTGGTCTTTAGCTTAAAAAATCCTAAAGGCCCAATTAATTAAGAGTCATGCTAGTTGTACAATCGAGGTTGACAATCACTCATATGGGGATTCACTTTTTTTTTAATTTTTTAAACATGCGAACCCTGCACACATGTGAGTGATTGTCAACCTTGGTTGTACAAATATAATTTTCTATTAATTAATTATTATCATCATAACCAGAAATTTGAATTTTTGGTGCATTCTATGCCAATGTTTTTATTTAATGGATAAGTATGGCTTGTCACTACATGTAGAGAACGATGGATCAATTCGTGGCTGCATAGTGCACTCCCATCCCCTCGAACATGGTAATTGTTATGACTTGCTACTAGCTTTGCCACGTGGCCGACCCAGATGAGGCCCATTACTAATTCGAAGTGGGCATGTTGAAGCGATCTGGTCCGAGGCTCCACCCAGCTAGTGACGGCCCACGTGCAGAGATGTTGAATTTATTATAGAGATCTTATTTGAATGATTGATGAGACTTTTGTAAAAAATGTATTGTGTCATGTCTTGTCAATAGAATGTGAGCATTAAATGCTTTGAAAGTTAGGGAAGTCAACGTGATGGCTGGGATTTGACGCTTCGACCGAGGGGATGAAGCCACATGTAATTTTATTTAAGGGTCACCATTCTATTTGTAACACTATAAATACCTCCACCATGTAACAATTGAGGACTAATGCAACTTTAGATACTTTGAGCAATTGGTTTTATTCTCTTACGTTCATGTACAATCTTTAATTTGAGTTCATAGTGATTGGTTATTATTATACAATCGTATCCCTGATATGTTGCTGGAACCCGAACGGAAACGTCTCGTGTCGTTGAACTTCTCCCACGTCCAAGTTTGGAGTGATCTCGATCGTTGATCTGCCTTAACATGTTGGATCTAGCTTATCCATACACGAGTGAGTCCGATATCTGTTGACAACACATTTTGATGTCAACAGTAATTGTGGATTATTTTAGCAACGACAACTTTCCCTATACAACTCCTCGGACTTGTGAATGCCAAGAACTTATCATCATATTTCCAACCTTGGTTTTGATCGTCTAAAATTGATGTAATTCGTCAACAGATCAGTGCCATCTTCACCATCTTTTTTATTTCCTCCTTGTGTTTCTTTGCGGTTCATCGAAATGCACTTGCCAATAATAGTGTCCAAGATTTCCCAAGCTTGGCTCAATTTTCTTTCTGATCCAATTCCTAGCCTCCTTTGCATTCTCACATGCTTGATGGCAAAACATGGCGCTTGAGAATTGCTGCTTCAGCATCTTCCATGGCTTTCGAGAATGACATTTGTAAAGTTGAATGTTCTTCCATTTACAGGTGAAGGGCTTACAAAAATCTCGCAGTTATGGATAAGGCTGAGTACATGATGATGATTAGAAAGTAACTTTATATGCAGAATTAGTAGAATTGCAAAGAATAATAGACAAAAATTTTAACTTTTTTCTTCTTTGAACTTGTTTCTCAGCGGAGATAATAAAGTTGATGATATTGATCGTATAAAGACTTAATAACATTCAGGTCGGTTATACCTACACAATTTTAATAAATTTGTGGCGGCAAAATATGAATATAATACAAGACATTTACATGCTCTTAAACCGTGTTGAACCACCTCGAGAACACGTTTATTAGTCTTGAAAGAACATACAGAGAAGAAAGTGAAGTCCATATGCACTTCCACGCCTTAACAAATATAGTTTCTCACAGGTTAAAAGTTCAGGGGCGAGGAGTCACAATATGGGAAGAAGAATTGAAAATCAAATTAATAGAAAGAATCGACGTGTATTCAAAGTGATAAACAAGCAAATTCATTACATCACAACACACGGTGAACAAAATGCCTCTCCCTGGGTCAAATAACGAATGGAACAGTTTGTCTCTGAAACTAACTGCTATATCACAAAGGAAAACATACTGCTTTTGGAGATATTTCAGTCAATCAAAAAGCAATTGAACTCTTCATACATTAATATCTGTACGCTTTGATCTCACAGTGGTGGTTTCCTGGTTGGCACTCGATGCAAATCTTGGGATGTTATAATAGTCAGGTGTTGACATGGGCTGCTGTGGATAGAGCGTGGGAGGGGGGTTCAGGTTGCGTTGAGCTGGTAGAGGAGGAAGCGCATTATACTTGTATGGATCGCCTATCAAACTGTATCCAGCAGAAGGTGCAGTAAGGGTGTAAACAAAACCCGGAATGGCATGAGCTTTAGGGCATAAAACTAAGTGCTGATGATATAACAATTACAATTAATGAAAAAGAAACAAAGTTAACCAGAAAGCATGATGCTCAAAACAGTATCTTTATAAATCCAAAAAGGGTGGCACATGACATGATGAACATACATAGCAAGCAACCGCCAAGAATATTTTTCATAAACTTCATGGTTCTATTGCTTGAAGATCAAAACACAATCAGAGAACAAGATGAACAGCGTAATTTGGACTATTCTTCTGCTGCTTTCAAATTACACACGGAAATGGTAGCAATTATGCTACTCTTTTTTTTTTTTTTTTCAATTTTTTTTTGTCATTTTAGAAGAAAGGAATAAGAAATTGGCAGTGCAAATTTTATTCACAAGAAAACCGCAGGTAAAATGTATTTATGGTGAACAATCCAAATGTCATCTTCTCCATTTCTTCAGGTAGTTTTTTGTACATACATGCAAATATAGACACACATGTATGTATGATATACATATACGTAGACGTGTATTTGAGATGATAGGAAATTACAAAATGAACACAATTTATATCACACAGGTCCTACATGCACGTGTTTTTGTGAACAAAAAGTATAAATTCTGATAACATGGACATCAACATGCACAAATTAACAAGTTCTTTTTTGCACGTTGGTTTCTTATTTATGTTCTCTATTTTCATTTTTTTTTTTGGCCGGGCTCACCACAGACATGGACTTTTAATCATAATTCTTTCTGATTATCTTTGGTGAATTTTATTTCTTTCAAAAAATGTATTTCCTTTGAATTCTTCCGCAGCAAAAACCTTCTCCAGAAGGAAATTGATATGCACCAAAGGGCAAATCTTGTGTTTTTAGAAAGTGTTCTTACATGACAAACAAATGATACCTAGTCTCACAATTCATATGTGGGGGGGGAAGCAATCAAATAAGTAGAGATTGTTTAGCAATTATAGAAGAAAAATAGAAGCAATTTGATCTTGAATCACATGCATTGATAAACGTATGGCCATCATTTTTCTTTATACTGCATGAGACTGATTCAAAAGTTTTCATGGAGCACAAATGAATCAATCATAAAAGATCTCTAGGCAGGTAGAGCATGTCATACCTTGAACTCTTATACATCTGGTCCTCGTCACTCGAAATTTCAGAAGATTGTGCCAATGGCCTATGCACCTGGGTTGACCATGGGCTTGCACCAGGCAATTCATCAGAGAAGTATCTCCGCCTGATCAACTTCATACGATATACTACTCATTTAGATGAGAGTTTCCAAGATAAACAAAAGCTAGATGCACAAGGGAAACATACAGACCATTTGAAAAAATTTCATCACTGCTTCTTTGTCGTATCTGGCTTCTTTGGCAGCCTGCACCAATAGAAAAATAAAATTCTAGGTTAATTTTCCATTGGTAAAGATACAAAGAATATTGTGGTGAACATCCTTAAATTGAAACTTATAATTCGTTATTTGCTAAATTAGTGCAGTAGCAATATATGTAATTTTGCCCTTAATAAAGCTTTCTTGAATCTTTTATACAGAGCAAAGGGAGTGGAAATGGGTGGCAAAGATCAATCTACAAACCAAAGCACGAAATTCATTCTATGGCACTAGTTGCTAACCCATTGTTTAAGAACTACAATTTCCTTTTCCTTGAAGCTCTACCAAATTTTAAAGTTGATACACCTGCAAATTTCCAATCATTCTCGCACTGTAAAATTTGATTCCTGCCCATAAAAAATTTTGTCAAAAAAATATCCGCCAGCTACAATTTGATCTGAAAAATCACTTGGCAGCTTTCCTATCTAAGAATTCTTGAAACTATATTCAAACGTAGAAAAAAATTATCCTACTTTATATGCTATAAACCCACGGAATTACAGATACATTAGTTATTTTTATAGATGAAAAAATCATAAAGATTTAATTTTTTCCTTCAGGAACCAATTCAAAATTCCTTTACAAAAAGGCAATATAATCCTCAACTTACCAATGTCAGAACATAAAGCACAGCCAAAAATCCCATGAACCAACAATCTTTTCTGACAAATAATAAATATGAAGCTTAAAATGAAAATTGTACAGAACTGTCAAATGAAGTGGGCAGCACAAAGAAGATAGCAACGTGTATTCATCTTTTGCTAGTAAACAATTGTATGAATTCATCTCTGCAGTTTCTGCTATACAATAAAAATAAACAGGAGGAGTTCTTCACATACACATGCACACATATAAATGAACTGTGACATGGGTATACTAGTAAAGCATGCATGGTATAAAACCTGTAGGAATTTCTTTGAAAACAATACCATAAATTAAGGTGTCGTGCCTTTAGATAATGAGAAAAGAAAAAAGAAATAGTTTGGCATACACTTGCAGCAGGATGATGCAATTAGCCTAAGTCTCATCTATGAAAACAAAATTAAACTAAAAATTGAACTTAAGAAACACAATAAACGGTATCGAGTTCAAAGAATTAAGACCTTGTTTGGTATAGATTTAAATCAGATTTTTAGTAAATTTTGATAAAAGTTGATGAAATATATAGTTAAAAAGTTGTGGACCCCATGAAATGTGTGGTCAAAATTAATTGTTGACTTTGACTTGAGATTAAAATCAGATTTTAATTAGAATCAAACAGGGGCTAGATAACATGCTTAACCAGAGAAACCGTTAATTCTTCCATATACTATTTGAGGAAAATAAATTATACATCAACTGATACTTGAGAGGGGCATCTGAAAATTTGGTAGATCTAAAAGTTTCTCGAGCAGTATTTTTCCCTTTATATGTACATCAGTAAAGAGAGTTGCTGGAATTCTTAAAATTATGTCATGTCGCAGCTACAATTCTGCACTAACAGTGTTAGTATAAACAACAGATTTCCAAATTATACTTACTGCTAGAAGACCTCCATTGCCAGGGAAACTCTCAGTCAAAGGAAGTTCCTCGCTTGATGGAAGTAATCCCTGCTTCTCAACCCATTGTCTAGCTGCATCAACCAGATTGCCACTGCTCCCTCGTGTACCCTCTTTCGCAGCAATATCTGCTTTGTTACCAATAACAATGTATGGGACAGGAAGACCACCAGGACCTCCAGACGCTAAAGGAGCTGAGAATGTACCAGTAGCGGCAATCTCTGCAGCCCACTTCTTCAAGCTTATCTTCGTCCTTCTTTGAGAAAGATCATGAACAAACATAACACCTGAAGATGAAGTTCAGGTCATTAAAAAAATAAAGACTGTAGATCAAGAATATCACAGTTAAAAAGCTCATCGAAATTTATATGACAAATTGTTAAAAACTTAGAATTAGTAATGCAGTACTATACCTTTTTCAGTTTAGCATGAAATATTGTATTAATGATGCATGATAAGTAATAGGGAATGCAGACAAGTTACAGTTAAAAACGTCCATCATATGGTAATTTTTTTGGATAAAAAAATTTAAATAAAGCAAAAGGGCTCATCGTTTACCATTGATTTGAGAATAGAACACAGACCGGCAATCTTGATATCGTTCGTGCCCTGATATATCCCAAAGTTCAACAAAAAAATCTCTCTCACTGTCACCTATGGAACTATATGACGTGCTACCAGAAGTTCTATAGGTAGTATGCTGCATAAAGGAAACAGGAATTTGTCATTATTTATCTGCAGTCTTAGCTACCAACTCATTTGAAGAAATGAATTCATCAAACCTTAACATCAACAGTACAACCAATTGTTTGAACAGGCCGAGCAACAGAAGAACCTTTTAGAATCAGATGAACGAGAGAAGTCTTCCCCACACCTATCAGAACATTGAAAAATTAATATGCAGTTTGGTAGTTGATGAGATATTAAATGAATGTTTTTTTGGTTAAGTTCAATATTCATTATTATAAGGAGCTGATCTAGAAGTTCTACTACACTACAAAGAGTTTGTAATCACTGAGGAGTTCTTCAAAAACTTCATTATCTGCAACTTTAGATTTCACAAATCTGAATTTCAAAAACAGGCATAAAACAGAACGCATAACACTTTGCAGTGTACCACAGCAGCCAACTAAAGGAAACTCTGAACTCCAAGCAAGAGCTGCTTTACCTGGACCAATATAATGCATTCTTCTAAACCGCTAGTTCTTTCTAAATAGACACAAATTACAAAGCAACCAGTACTAGTGACTATTTAATTTTAAATAACATCAACTCTTCTCACCTACCACTCATTGCAACAGTAAACTGACAGGTACCTTACATTCCTCTTACATAAGAATGGTATAAGTACGGATTTTTATTCTCTACTCTAACAGATGCTGTTTATAGATATGTACACACACCAAAAAAAAAAAAATCCAAACCAATCGCAACAAAAATTACAGAATACAAAATTCGATAAATCATTCAGTTTTTGTTCTGAAGGATCCCAGATTCTAATTAGGTATCCGTTTGTCAATTCAATATTGAAAGTATGTTTGGGAAACATTATAAGTTACTAATAAATTTCAATCAAAGACAAACTTTAATTTAAACCCAAATTCACAACTACTACCACCACCGACTTATTATCCACACATTTATTGGGACCAATTACCCCTCTCAATGTAATCTCCTTAATAATCTCCGGTCAAAATTTAATTTCAACCACACGTTCTTGACTAGTGCCTATTTATTAACCACACATTTCTTGCGACCCATTACTTCTCTCGTAATCACCTTATATGGAGATTATAATGAAACCCCAAAGCACACTCAGTTTCAAACCAAATACTGAAATTACTATAAACCATACACAAACACACAGAGAGAGACCCCCCCCCCCCCCCCNTAAATCTTCATATGCACACCATTCTTCAAGCCACCTCTTTGACAATCTTCAATATATTTTCATTGATTTTTATTTTTGGAAAGAAAGAAATTTTTTAAAATTGAGCTAAAGGAAAGCCCTATAATAGGATTTTCAAGGAAGTGCTATGGTGGGTGCTAGAGAGAGAGAAATTTATTGAAGATATGTGTAATGGCATAAGACCAATGGTGAGATCTAGTGGGGATAGTAGAAGAGAAATTTTTGTTCCTACGGACTTGCGTCAAGGTTCTTCCCCCAAGTCTTTATCATTTTTCTTCAGACGTGGACAAGTTTACGAGACATAACCAAAACGCACTCACTTAGCATATGTGAGATTAGCTGGTGGCGTTTTAGTTGATTGGATATGAAGGGGATCCATGATAAGTTAGAACTTTGTAAAAAGATTTTGAGTTAGAAATACATAATTTGATTGGGTGGGGAGGCAGCAAGGCCGGGGGGGAGTAAGCTAAGAAGACTGGAGGTTGGAGACCTAAATAATAAGAAAAATTGGTTACACAGGTAGGGGATGGGGACCTCTGGTGTTATTTTCTGTAGTTTTTGATATCACTTCCGAATTTAGGCCAATAAAAAAAGGAGGGAAATGTAGACCATAATTAACACGGCCTAAAGTGATTGCACAAAATCACATTTCAGCAGTTCTTTCTCTGGATTTAGAGGTCAATTGAACGGAATGACAAAAAAGTATTCAGGTAACATAAGCCCAAGTCTATTGAGAACAATGGTTAGTTTGTCGTCATTGTTTTCCTTCTTTTTTTTTTTCAACTGCTAGAGACTATATCATGAAGAGAAATTAGTGTCGCTACATTGAGCTTTTAGCAAGGTTTTAAAAAATGGCCACCAAATTGAGGCTTCATTAAACAGGGAAAAATGTTCAAACTTGACAAGTACTAAAATTTGAAACCATGCAAGCTATCAGTGATTTAGGCACCATTATGAACCTAAAACTGACTTCATCCTATAATTGATCATGCCAAAACTTCAGGACATAAACAAACCCATAAAATACTCATTTAAAACTATCCAACCTTAAAAGAGTTATCAACATCTTAAGGCAGAAAAGCAAAGAAACGTGTAGGAAAGAGGACATTAAAATTTTTTGAAAGCACACATACGCACAACATCCAGAAACTAATGAATTCGAAATTGCTAATATAGGAGAAAGGATTAATTAAGTTACCTGAGTCACCAACAACAAGAACTCTGACCTGCCCACAAGGAGGTCCGCCATTCTGCTCTTTGTTTTCCCTTTCCCTTCCTCTCCAAAACATATTCTCCTACTCCAAGACCAGAAAATCTATCCGCAAAGAAAATTACAGAAGCCCCAAAAGTATTCACCTCAATTTCAAGCCAAGTTCCATCAAGAAACACACTAATCCCAGCGAAAAAGCAGATCCCTCTAAAAATGGATATTTCGGATTCCAACCAAAAAAACCCAAATCACAGAAAGAATTAATGAAAGAAAAGTTTAATTCCAACAATATAGCATTACAACCAGGTAGATCTTTCAAGATTTTCAGAAGGGCGCCTTTAAATCTGGATATATCTAGTCTGACTCCAACTAAGGCCAACGGAATTGGTTTGTGCTCGATATCGTGATAAATAGAATATGGGTTCCTTGTTCTAATTCAGTCTATGGAAGAATATAAGATCTGAAGTAAAACGTCCTTGACTTACTACTATATTTCCGAAATCGAGTAAGAAGGTGGGTGTATGGATATATAGACTTATAGTATGTATATACAAATCACATATCTCAGAGTGATCTGAAAAGAGCAAGGGATTATACGCATCAACAAAACTCGGGAAGGAGAAAAATCGTTTTCATCGATTTAAAGCGAGGGCATTAATTAGAGATTATTATTTTCGCGGGAGTTGGGATGGGAGTTCTTATGCTGCAGGACTATTATATACTTGGATAAAAGTTCAGGGTTCAAATTCTCATTTTTCCCACTACCTCTGAACTTTGTATAGAAAATGCATAAATTTTGATCAGCTGATGTCACTGTTTAAACAGGAATGATCTAATGAGCACCGGTGCTCATTAGATCATTCCTACTGTTTAAAATGGATATAAGCCCGTTGGATGGAATTTTTTTTTATCGAAAAATTGTAGATAAAAAATTCATGTACATATACTTCGGACATTTCAGGACGAAACAACAATCACGTGGGACATACAACTACTCTGGACGTACCCGAGCAAACAAAAAAAAAAGGTACTTGTTCTTTTACTTTTACTTGTTATAGAAGAATTTCTTAAAAAAAAAAAAAAAATTGTTTTACAACTTTTACTAGAAACGCTTATTGAAGAAGCTACTTTAAATCAACTTTCATAAAAAAAAAAATTATTTTTAGTCGACAAATCACTTTCAGAAAATTATTCAAATATATTCAAAAATAACTTCTTAATTTCAGAAACAAATTTTTACCTTTAAAAAGCCTTATGAAACGGACTCTTAAATCAAATTTCTGTAAAAGGTCTTCTGACAAAATAAAATATTTTTAGAAAATTATTAAAATAAGTTCAAATGTAATTTCCTGTCTGGCAACAATTTTCCTCCACCAAGACAGTGATTTTTTGCCCGTTAGGTGTGGCAGGCGGGCCCCACCTGTCTCACACATGGTCAACAATTACGGCTTCAACAGCGGCTAAACGGCATTATTTCTCCTTCTCAACGGTAGTAATTCTGCTGTTTAGCATAAACAAACGGGCCCCTTATAAACAATTTTTGACTTTTCAAAACATTGTCAAATGGATCGTAATTTTTAATGAAAATAGGAAATAAACTCTTTTAAATGCTCAAAATGTATACAATTCAACTTACAAGAAATATTTTTACTAGGTTGGACAAAAATTCTTTGTTGTAATAATAAAATCTGACAGATGATTGAAAAATGTGTTGTCAAGATTAAAGTGTCAAAATCTGTCAATTCACATGGATGTAAATCAATGTGTCAACATTTATATACATATAACATGGTTAATAACAAAATTAACAATATGATGTTTACATGTCTAGGAATTGGCACATGGGTTAAAAATCAATTCCATCAATTGACAATCCTGTTTAATATTAGTTCACGTTCAAGAAAATATCATACCAGAAAAAACCAACAATTCTTCATTTGAACAAAGTCAACAAAATATTATGCGCATACACATTTATGGTATGGTACAGCAATACGAGAACAAAAATTACCATCGTCGACAAACTACATAGTACAAATATTTATACATAATAAGTCGAGAAGAAGAGAGAAATTAATGTAGAGAAGAAGATGGTTGTAAAGAACATGGCATCTGGTTTTTATTGTAATGGACAATACAATTAGGGCTCTGGTGATTATGAATTCCTTCATAGGTTGTCACCACATAATTTGGATCATCCCTATCTCTTTCTACCCTTTTCTTCACACTGCATCCTTCACTTGTACATTTGAAGTAATTTCTGTAACAATTCATATATATTTCATGAGTAACACCACCTTTCTGTCGAAATCAACACACACACACACACACAATTAGGAAATGTCATAATTAGGAATAAGTTTTAATCTAAAACATGTAAGGGGAATGATTTGATTCTTTACCGTTTACATTATATACACTAGTGTTTATGTTATAGGTATAGGAAAATTTGACTAAATTTTTACAGAAGAACACTTGATAATTTTTTTAATTAGTTTTCGATCCAATACTGACGGAAAATGCATCATACAAGTGCTGTCAACGCAATGCCTGCGTGATTTATGTGAATAATTCCCTGTGCGCAAAGAATTATTTGTGTGATAACAAAGGGAAGAAGATACAATTAATATGATTCTAAAATTGGAAATATGTACTTCCTCCTTGCAAGTATTTTTTTTTTTTTTTTTTTATGTATACCGTACCATTATTAATTTATATTTGTTTGATCGTATATAGTTCAATATCATTTCCTTTGTTAAATAAATGTGAGAAGAAGATGCATAAATCTACACATATTCGTCTAGCTTATACACAGAAGGCATGTGTAATACATTTAGCCCCTATTTGAACCTCATTTTTTAAAATAGGTTTGTAAAAAAAATGAATTTTTTGAAGAATGTGTGAGTAAAGAGTAAAGAAAAAATTTTAAATACCAATTCTAATGTACGACAATCCTATTGTAAATAGGATTATGATTATATATTTATAATAAGATGTTTAGTTGTGATAATTTTATCTTTAATTTTAATATTTGTTTAGAATATGATTTATTTTCTTTATGAATTAAAATATGATTTCTAATTTCTTTTAAATTAGGATTTCAGATGTTTTTTTCTCTTTAAAATTTAGTTTCCTTATATTAATAGGATTGGAGAATAATTTTGCCTATAAATATAAAGGTATTGTACACTTTTTAGCAACAATCAATTAATATTCAATATATACAAGACATGATTGTTCAAGTATCATTCTTATTTATTACATAATTCTTATTACAAGAATTTTAAAAACTCTTCCGTATCAAAATTGGTATCAGAGAAAGAAAATTGCCTCAATCTAATGGATGACGATGGTCCTGGTGGTAATTGAACCACCGCCGACGACGAATGGAGGCTTGAGAAACTCGAACGAATCGAGGGGATCGATGAAACCCTTCACAACATTATGCAAATATTGAAGTAGTTGAGTATTAAAAGGAATCGCGAACCAATGGAGAAGCAAGTTGACAAGAATTTGCAGACTTTAACTGCTATGAATGTTGGTTGTTCCAACAAGCATAGAATAAGGCAACATGTGGCTGTAGAATTTCTTCGAGTCCCAGCTAAGTTCGAATACATATAAGTTATTAAGGATTATTTTTTTTAACAAAACTCGAGGACGAGTTTTTTCAAGTAGGAGAGATTAATGTAGGATAATCTTATCGTAAATAGGATTTAGGGTTAGATATTTATAATAAGATGTCCAGTTGTAATAAATTTTAACTTTTTATTCTAATATTTTGTTTAGAATATGATTTCTTTTCTTTATCGATTAGATTATGATTTCTAATTTCTTTTAGATTAAGATTTTAATTCATTTCCTTTCAGAATTTAGTTTCCTTATATTAATATGATTAGATAATAGTTTTGCTTATAAATTTAAAGACATTGTACACTCTTTCAACAACAATAAATTATTATTCAATATATATAAGACATGATTGTTCAAATATCATTCTTATTACAAGAATTTCAAAAGCGCTTCCGCACCACTGGGCCTCAATTCAAGCATATTTCAATGCATAGTAATACTTATTTTTGTTTACTCTTCCTTCTGATGTGGTATTGAAATTAAAAGATTCAGACCTCCAATAAATTGAAAAAAAAAAAGTGAATTCAAAGGGAATGTCAAAATTAGTGAAGGCCTAGTTACATAAAAGTCCCAATGGTAAAACAAAAATCAGTAAATGATCTCGTAAACAATTTTCAGTGGAGGTAGTTGAATATCGTCCACAACTTTTACTTTAAGAGTGTATCTATAGTGTTTTCTCTTACGGTAGATCATGTATGTTTATGCAAATCTGTGTTTGCATGCGCAGACATATGTATAACACAAAACGTGGCATTATTGTACCTCCAACCAACACATTTTTCATGGTTAACGTGGTGATAGAACGTTTATTCACCTTTCTTGTACAATTGTCGCTTCAGGGACATTTCAATAAAATTGAAACGATACAAAAAGGATTAGCATGGCTTATGTGCAAGGACGACACACATATATCGAGAAATGGTAGCTTTCATGTGCAACCACATAATAAGCTGTTACATACCTACTTATATAGCTAGCAAAGCATCTTCAAGACTTTTATATTTGCACATACATGTACACATTTATACGTGGTTTTTGTGTGTTCGCGAGCATTTCACTTTGTGACATGGAAGCACATAAATATGGGATCACCTATGTGAGTTCTTTGTAAGTACCTATGGCTACATCTAATGGAAAATCCAATTCAACCACAATAAGTCATGTTAGTTTGTGTTTGTTCCTTCATCTTCTAACATAATTAAGGAGAACTCGTCACTCTTAATGGGATTGATAAATTACAAGAACTACATTGTGAAGCTCATATAGGATTGGAGCAATTAACCTATCTTTCCTATGTCGTCAACAGCTTGTGAAATAATATTATTAATTTGATGTTAAATAAAATTTGAATACCTAATAATGAGATGGAAAATGTTGAATGATGCTAAAATAAAGAATTCTAGATCTTACGTTATTAATGATAATCTTATCACTTAAAAATGCAAATCCAACACATAGATAATATGAGAATGTCAAAACTTTAGTCGCACAGATACGCACAGTCACCCTCATTACATACATTTTCCTTAAAGAGGAAAGAAAATCCTAGCACCAGATAATCTCATACATCTATGTGAAAACTTTCTCAATAACTTCTAAGTAATATGTCAAGCTAAAGTAACAAAAAACAATTGAAGAATCTGGAAGTAGGCACGAAGGTCTCACTTGCTTCTATTCTCTTTAATCATTTGGATAGCCTTCTTTCTAAAAGGTAACCTTATATAAACGCAGTGTAGCAATGCAAGCATCATAGGTCATTTGAGTTTTATCATTTTTGACATCATACTCACGCATTTGAGAGGTGACTAGTTGAATTCATCGAAAGCTACTCAGAGAACCTCAAAAAAGGTACGTTGATACGCAATACTGGTACAATAGACAAAAGATTAGGCCTCTTTCTTCATTAATACTGTACAACACTGTCTAGAACACCTTACCAATTACACTTCCAATATACTTTATTGAACTTCTAACATTTTATCTAGTGTCCAAATGGCTAAAATGGTTTTAGTGTTTACTAGGAAAAATGATGAGCAAGAACAACTTGGCTTTGGGACAAAAATTCTCCGTGCTTATTGTTGATGATGATAAAATCATTCGAAGGATTCATAAGATGCTTTTGACTAAATTTGGATTTGAAAGTCATGCGGTTGAAAACGGAAAAGAAGCTGTTGATCTTTATATATCTGGAAAAAATTTCGATCTTATTCTTATGGATATGGAAATGCCAGTCATGGACGGACCTAAGGTTTGATANACATGATTGTTCAAATATCATTCTTATTTATTACATAATTTTTATTACAAGAATTTCATAAATACTTCTGCACCATATTCGATCCGAGTTCTCTTATGTGCAAAATTATTAATTGAAAGAATGAATTTGAGGAAATATGAATTACAAAGAATGACACTCAACATAGCCAAAAAAGAACAAAAGAAACTAGTGGAATTATTCTTAAACTCCGCTAATATATATATAGTCCACGGATTATGAATAAATTTAAAATTTAGGCATCAAAGATTAATTTCAAGTTTCAATTACTGAATATTTTCATTGTATTTACCTGGGGAAAAAAAACTTTCTGTTTAAATATCTATTAAAATGCTTGATGTATCCTTTTTCTTCCTTTTCTCTAGGAAATCATACTAATATATTAACTATCTTTCGTCTGTAAATAATAACTGGGATGATAAAAAGAAGTTTTTAGAAAGAGAGAGAGAGAGAGAAAGAGATGAAATTTTTTCACTGGTAAATACAAAACCAATGTTGATTATCATCAACAACAAATACAGTAAAATCTTGTGAGGAAAGGGAAAGAATATTCACTACAAAATTGAAGGCTTTACATACCTTGGATTGGGGCTGCTCTTGACCATCTTTTTCCCATATTTTCTCCATTTAAATCCATCATCCATTATTTCCAGCTTTGATTTTGTTCGAAATGCTAACCTAAACTCATCTTTTGTCTTATACTTGTTCACTTTTCTTCTACACGAAAAAACAATTACCAGTTATCACTACATATTACTAGCTGATAAAGAGAAAATTAACCTAAGGCGCAATAGAACTTGCATGTTACTAGCTAATGGAGTTGATGAACTCGAAGATCCATTGAAGCTGCTATCCACATTCGCCTGCGTAGAATTCTCTTCCTCCAAGACACCATCAAATGCGAAATAATCCGAGAATTTGAAATCGAGCAATTCATTAAGCAGATCGGTAGTAGTACTGTCTGTGACTTGATGATAATTAGGGTTAGGGTTTTGATATTGAGAAGTATCGTTCATTGCAGAGTTGAAAGTGGACATGTTTGAAATTGTGGAAAAGTACTTGTGGAAAAAATGAGTCCCCAAGATAAGCAGCCTTTTCTTAAATATACTTTTCTATTTTGTTTTTTAGTTTGAAGCTTCATGAACCCTTTCCTAGAGGCATGCCATGAAGGTGCTTTAGTAAGGCATGACATAAAAATTATGAGAAAAAAAAAAAAAAAACCATAAATTTTAAAATTTGATATCTCAATATGTATCGACCCAAAAAAAAAAAACTGTACACACGTATGTATGTATATACGAAAAGTTGGAGCAAACATTTTCAACTTACGACCATTATAGCTTGATAATGAACCATTAATTCTTGATGTTTGTATTTACGACTTTTTAATTCTTTAGCACATAGTATCGGTGGATGGAAGAGTGCAATTAACGACCATCAAGTGTCCAATTTTAAAAGGTAAATTGGTGAATGCTTTACTTATAAAAATAAATAAAAAGAGAGAGAAAACAAGTGGGCGTGGTGGCAACCTCATGACCAGTACAAGAGAGAGACAAATGTGGTGCAAGAAAGTGCAAAGAAAAGCCATGGGCTGCTAAAGATGACCCAACCAAGAACTTTCTCTAGTCATGCTAAGCTCCCCAACCCAAAGGAAGTTTCCCAAATACTATACAATTATTCTGTTTTTTAGTGGAATTTAACACCTTGGTTGATAAATGAAATTGCGGCAAAAAATAATTGGATGACGCTGACGTTTCTGCCATCTTGCATTCCATCTAAAATGTTAGTGTATCATGATTGAATACTATATACAAAAATGTTTCGCTACTTTATCAATATTCATGTAATATGGTCTGAAAAATAGAAGTAATAGTTGTATTTTTAATTTCATGAGTCCAATTTTAAGGCGTGTTCGGTAGAGATTAAAATCGGATTAAAATTGAAAAATTTGTCATTATTGTTGACTTTTATTAAACGAGTGGTACTCAATAACGACTATATTTTCAATTTTAATTGAATTTTAATCTTTACCAAATGAGCACATAGTGTATGAAATATGCGTCAAAAGTCTAAATAGCTGAATTGAAATTCTCTTTAATTCGAGTTCTCACATTAAAGTGGATTCAAGCCTCGTGCCATGTGGGGCTCACATTGAAACTGCAAAAGTCTAAATCTTCCGCTAACCAGTTAATTTGGTACACAATTTGTTCTGTAATATTAGATGTTACACAGAACAAATTAATATCCGGTGCACAGCTAAGGCTCACGAGTCTTTCAGGCCGAAGGGGAAGGTAAAAATCTGAGAATCGAATATTTGGAGACCTTGCATCACACCGAAACATTCTTTTATGCTATGGTTGTGTGCTCAATCCAAACTACTTACGAACGATAAGTTATTTCATTTTGGATATGGATCGTAATTGTGTTTTTTGTGGACATGCTACTCTAACATGCCAGCACCTATTCGTTAGTTGCTCATTCACTTCTATGGTATGGGGAAAAATTCGGAAGTGGCTATGCATGAGGCGGTCTATGTCGACAATCTTTAGCGCATTAAAGTGGATCAAAAAGGAGGTTTGAGGGCAAAACAAAGCCAAGAGGATTGCATTTGCTAGCACCGTTTACCATATTTGGACGGCGAGGAATCGAAAGATTTTTGAGGATCTTAAACCACAATTGGAGAGCATTGTATACAATGTTATATTTTCTTTGTATCCACATGTTTTGATTCATTTTGAGTTATTAGAGTTGGATCTTTAGATCTTATCGTTTGTACATCTTTTCTTTTTGTTTATCTGGGTATGTTCCGTGTACTTGTATAAAATTTTACATTTACCGATTAAAAAAAATTAAAAAAGGAGGAGGATACCAGCAATATTGCCAAATTAAAATTCGTTTGGATTTTATCAGAATTAAAAGTAAAAGAGCGGAATAAACGCCATCGACATATATAATAATCTAGAAGAGCAGAAAAATCACCATTAAATCTTGTATTATTCAAAGTAGAATACTTTATAAAAAAATTGTCACTAGTTTGTCACTATTTAAATAATTTTTTAAGAATTTTTACTTAAATAATCATGGTCAAACGATGGCTCAATCTGACTTCTCACATGGAAGTGGAGGAATTATTTATTTTGCAGAATCATGCTGTTAGGCACTTTCTTGTGCGGCTCAAAGGCCACACAACTTATCAGCTAACTTATATAATATAGATAATTAAGTTTTAAAATAATAATTCACTTTTTTTATTAAATTTAAAAATAAGTTATTTATTGTTATAGTCAGGGGCGGACCTACATGAGGCCTAGTGGGGGCCGCCGTCTCCACTCAATTTTCAGATTTTTAGATTTTTTTTATGAAATAATCACAAAATTTACCTCCATGACAACGATGACGTGTGGGGTGTTCCGATTGCTCCAATCAACAAATGTTACCTGCAGAGTGAGGTCGGGGTTTTCTCCCCCGTTGTACCTCCAGTGTAAGAATCATTAGGTGCTTAAAGGAAGTAAGAAGAAAGTATATTGAGAGTTCAAGTAGCTCGGGTTCCAAGAGTCCATACGTTTCTCTTCTTGGAGGTATTTATAGGCACATGTTGCTATGCACGTGTTCAATAGTTAATAGTACCACGTGTCCCACGTAGACCTTCCCCCTTCCTCCATGTTCTAACGTGGTGACCCCCACTCATCAAGCGGTTGGTTGTGCCCATGTT